TCAAAAACGTATGATGCAAATGTCTAGAGCCAACAATGTGTTGGGCCTCCGCCCGCCCGGTGCAGATGGATTGAGCCGACTCTCGCCTACACAATTCATATGTATTGCTCATTGCGATCACCTACAAGAGAATGAAGCGGGCCGGCCCATTAGCTTACTCCAATTTTGGAGATCTTCTATCAGTTCCAGGAAGCTTCGCATCAGTTTCATGTTTTTCTTTCAATTTTTAGTTTTCATTCCTTTTGTTTTTTTATTTTCATTCCTTTTTCCTTCTTATTTTTTCTTCTATCCTTTATTTTTTATTTTTATTTAAACGAATATGTAAACATTAATCAATTTGTTTTTCCTTTAACTAAAGGAAATGTAACCAGTTATATGTTTGTGTTTCTTTTTTGGATTCGTGCTTTAAAAAAAATCCGTGAACACTTTAAGTTCATGATTTTATTTTCAATTTTTTTAAAAAATCACTTCCTAAACCTTTTTAAAATTTGTGAATATTTTTCAAATTACCAAACATTTTCAAGTTCGTGTTGTTTCTTCAAATTTATGATTTTATAATTTCATGAACATTTTAAAATTGGTGAACGTTTTTTTAACATCACATGTATTTTAAAATCGTGATAATATTTAAATTAGTAAATATTTTGAATTCATGAGCATTTAAAATTTTTGTGATGTTTACAAATTAGTGAACAAGTTTCTAACTCGTGAATTTTTTTAGTTCATGAATAATTTTCAATTCACGAATGTTTTCAAATTATAGTTCCAAATTCGTGAGTATTTTCAAAATTTACTCTTTTTTTTCAAATTTGTGAATATTTTAAATTCGTAAACTTTTTAAAAGTTCTGAAGCTTTTGAAAAATCCATGAACATTTTTAAATTCATGGACATATTCTAAGTTAAACTAAAACCAACCAAAAAAACGGCGGTAATATATAAAAGGCAAACACTAAAAGCCACTGCTAGGCATCGGTCCGTCTATCTGAATCGCTTAATCTGTCGCCCCATGGGCTGTTAGATGAAGGAGGTTAGCGCCATTGGATCGGTCAGCGAACATGATTGTCGTGGCGACCGGCTACTGTAACACACCTGGCTATTGTCGTGAAACAATTTAAATGAATTCAGTACATTCATCAAAAAGATGTGAATTTTTCCTAAAAAATTGCGAACAGTTTTTGAGAATTTAATGAACATATTTACAAAATTTTGTGATCATTTTTTTGGAGACATTGAACATTTCTTTAAAACAAAAACATTTATTTATATTTTTAACATTTTTTGAAAGCATGATATTTTTTCAAATGTCAAAGATCTTTTTCAAAACATGAACATATTTTGATTTTTTATAGAAACATGGACATTTTTAAGTATGTGAACATATTCTGAAAACTCAAACTTTTTTCCAATTTGAATATTTTTTGAAATCACATACTTTTGTTCAAATATGTGATTTTATGAAAAGGCAAATATTGAAACAAAAAGGAAGAATAAAAATAATAAAAACTGACAGAAAAAGAAGAAGCTAAAATTAAATCATTTTAGGAACCTTCGAGAAGATTCCCAAAACTGGTCAGCAACTGGGATACCAAAGATGGAGAAATAGTAACCTTGGTGGTAGAAGATGAAAATTTAAGATCAAAAGTATATCAGTCTTTGAGCTTACTAAGATAAGTGCTCCTTGCAAACTTATTTTTCAAGAGGCCAAAGATAAAATCTATAAATGGATAGTCCACATATTTTTCATATATATTCTTCAGAGAATTAAAACATACATTCTTTCATGAAAAAAATTACATTTTGCGCTCTTTTAGAAAGATAATAGCCTTATTTTGGCACAATAAGATAAATATCTTAACAAATTATTTAAAAACTCAACACCAAGGGATTTATTCCATGCATAAACCAATATCATTGCCGCAACCTTGCGACCATTATTATGCATTACATATGCTAACTACTTCTTCTTGGCTTTACACTCTGCTACTCTTGCCTCTGTGACCTTTAGGGCTTCTCCATATATGCTCACCAGCTGAAAACCAGTTTCATTATTATGAGTAACGACATAGCAATGATGCTTTCATCAATAATCGTAAAAGAAATACACATAGGCTATGTTGTGAATTTTATTCTTACTTTATCAATTTCTTCAAGGGTTATTATTAGTGGTGGGGACATCGCTATCAAGTTCCCAAGAACCTTAACCACCATACCACGTTTCTTACACTCCGCCCCAAAGGTTTCACCTATGCCTGAAAATGGCCAATAGAATCATTAGAACTTACTATGTGCAGATGTACAGTAATAGGCCGAGTTGATGATGCATGTTCAGATGAAAAAAAGGATTTTACTTGCCCTACAAATATTGGGGCCGAATCTCATGTTGGAAATATAAACAACAATATAATAGGTCGTTCCATTCTGTAGACCACCATCAATATGCTATTGACATATGTCTGATGTAGAGAACATGGAAGGAACAAATAAATCATATGAATTCACAAATTTATAAAATCCTTTAATCATAACCCCTCAAACTTAAAAACAAAAGGAGACTTATCTGACATGAACAAACAAAAGTGCACTAGTATTTTGTGCAGCACCCAAGTGAATTAAAATCACTCAAACATAATTCTCCGTTGGTCGCGCTAACATAGGTCACCATCTTTAGGATTTACCTCATTTCCATGGAAAATTAAAGGAAACTTGAGGAGTTACTTGGGGTTCAAAATTTACTCTCCTAGAAAATTGGCTTGCATTTTGTCCAAGAACATGGTTATGCTTTACTCCCTCCTTTTAGGTTTACAAAGCCAACACACATTTTGAAATTTTATCTACCAACAATTAAACAAATAATATATAAGTTGTTGGGCATAAAAAATCCTTCAAGTGGAAACATTTTTCAAATGCGAATTCAACATATATTTTATATGACATATAGTTATTGTTTATTACTCAAATTGATGATCAATGTTGGCCTCAAAATGCATGCGAGCCTTGTAAACACAAATGAGGTAGTAGTAACTTGGCATCTCAATCTACTAACATAAAGCTTCAATTTAAATAGTTGGCATGTACGTATAAGCTAAAGCTTGTGTGAAATACACATAACATATTTTCTAACCTAAGGACACACATTCTTAGTTATCATCGTGCTAAAACTCCACATGACATTGGAGAAAAGACGATAAATGGCTAAATATGAGCACGTAGCTACTAGTACTTACCCACTCAAAAGGGAATAAATCATATGGTGATTTGTTGTCAGTGAACTCTGTTGCTATCAGCAATCCTACACCACGGGTCTGCATACAAGAGTACACTAAATAAGCCATGTTGTTACATGTTTAAATAAGGCAGGTAATTTGTGCATGAGGAATGGGTGCATTAGGTGTAACATGGAAATGTTTGATAAATATGAACATGTAGATGAATACCTCCCAAATAATTGGACTTTCCGCTGCAAAGGCCTTGATCCCCTCCTGGAATCTTTGAGCAACATGTGATACATGACCAGGAATATCTCTTTCCCTAGCACCAACAATTTTGCAAAAAATTCATTAGAAACAAATGTCCCTACAGTGGCTACATATGTTTTGAGAACAAAAAGGGAGTGTACCGATAAATTTTTAATGCTTCTAAAGCCACAGCACACGAAACAGGATGTCCAGAGTATGTAAATCCATGAGCAAATGTACCTATGATAAAAGGCAATAGCTCAACATGTCTTCATTTCTTAAAACTATATACAGAGAAAATGATTACTTCATATAATGGCATTTAACTTACCAAGCTTATTGCTATGAGAATAAATTACATCTGATATTTCCCGGCTAACAAGTATTGCTCCAATGGGGGCATATGCAGAAGAAAGAGCCTATCACAATGGATTAACAATAATCATCTTGTATCAGAGCACACATATTTAGTGGTGCTGGTAGTTTGGTACTAGAGAACTCACCTTTGCCAAGGAAACAAGATCTGGCTTGATGTCATACAAATCAGATCCAAACATAGCTCCAACCTTCCAAATCCGGTAATGACCTGGAATGGATAGTGGTAAGTTTAATACTTTTCCGCCAGAAAAGAATAGTATTGTTTCTTCAACACCCTATGTCTCACTCGTTGAGATACAAAACATCAACATACCTCATCAACTATGAAAAGGATGTCATGCTTCTTAACAACTTCTTGAATCTGTTGACAAACAACCAAATAACACATAATGAACATGCATAATGCAATTTTGATGTCGAGTGAATAGTAGAACACTAATCTTAGCAACTCTCTGAGCAACTATAAAAATTTCCACATATGGATAATCTTAGCTCGATATTTCAAGGTGACATTAAGTAAATGAATCTATATGGATTTCTACATGGAAAATACAACTTTGTCTTAGAACATGCATAACCACCTTCTCAAAATATGTTTTTGGAGGAAGGATGACACCACCAGCACCAATTACAGGTTCAGCAATGAAGGCAGCGATCTAAGGGGAAAATAGTTTTGATTAGCAAAGTGTGGTATCAGTTATAAGCTTTGAGAGAGCTATACCATGTCTGGTCCTTCTTTGAGGATCAGATTCTCTAAATTATTCGCAAGTCTAGTTGCGAATTCTTCTTCTGTCTCACCTGTCACCCCAAAAAAATCAATTCATAAGAAAGTTGCACTAGGTTAATCATAGATCAAAGTTTCGAGGTGTACCAGGGAGATGGAAACGCCAGTAGTGAGGGCAGTCTGTGTGTAGAACAAAATTTCCTGGCAGATCAAAGTCTTGGTGCAACGTAGGAAGACTAAAGATGGATAAGGAATCAACAAAAAATATATAATATGAGCTAGTGATTTGAATATTAAATTTCTTGTTTGGATATATTTTATTTCAATGTTCTTTTTCGAAAGGGCAATACCCACCCAGATAGACTAGCTGATATGTATGTTGTTCCATGATATCTGCAATAAACATTAAGCATGATATTAAAAGCGACTTCTTACAATACCATCACAAGTGTATCGATATGACTATGTTGGGTGCATTTCTTTGAGGTCTATGAAGATTGCTCTTTATAGAAGATCAATTAATAGAAATAACCATGGATATATCTTACGATTGTGATCGTGCAATGATTTTCTTCTTCTTTGGCCTCCCCAATGCATTGTTATAATACCATACTAGCTTGACCTACAAAAGAATTGAATATAAAAATATGGAAGTGGTGTTATGAGAGCAACAAATACGGGGAATGAACACAATATAATGTTCATGAAATCTGTATTTATTATGTCTCTTCCATCCAACACATGTAAGCAATGGACATAAACATAATGTAGGAAAGAAATTAGATATATCGTGACATTCTAGAAAAAGTACAAACAATAAAGCAATTAGTAATGTAGTAAATAGATGTAATATAGTAAATGGATGTAAATAGATACTATCCTAATATTTTATAATGTCCAATCCGTTGCTAGTTCGAGAAATATAGAGATACTATACTAATGCAAAAGCATGATGTTTGAACTATGTGCAAGTATCGAGTAAACCTTACAAATTACAATCTTCCCTATCTATCGGAATGTTACAATATTTCATGAAACATAAAAAAACTTGTGAGTGATTCGAATTAAACTTATGCACACAGATATCTATAAGATATATACATTTGGTAAGCCTTTTAGAAGTGAATCATGCCATTAGTATATAATGTGTAAACCAATGTGTGGTTCTACAGGCCAATGATTACATATGTTACTTTGGGTGAATTTTTTGCACGTATCATCTCCATTTTCAATTATGATTTTAGCCTAAATCATTTCTACCATATCTCTCAACAATTCCTCCTTTTTTTTGCACAAATTCAATTTTGCACTTAGAAGTTTCAGACTGTAACTCGACATTCTGGTATGTCTTTTAACTGATATAATTATTCCTTGTGTAAACTGCAGGACTGGTTGGTACTTTAACAATATTACCTGAGAGTCATTTGCTTCCGAACCACTGCAGGTAAAGAAGACTTTCCCCATTTGCCTGGCAGTGAAAATGCTAATAAGTTCGTTCGCAAGATCCTGCAAGTAGCAGCAAGGCTCCAATCATCAGTGTTCATAAACTTCCTTGATGTGTAGAACAAAGCTAAGTTAGCTACCACTTGTTCCATATTTCATTGATGTTGCTGTAAGAACAAAATGGAATGAACAAACGATTGATAAGATGCCAAAAATTTACCAGAGAGGGTCTTGTTGTATGGTTATAAAAGGAGTGGTAGAAAGGCAACTTGTTCAATTGCTCTGTTGGAGCTTTGACTAATCGAGGCTCACTACCACCTGTAAAATAGCATTAGTGGTATATAAAACAAGCCTAGTTTGCAGTCAATTATTCATTACTCTCTCTGTTGGATTATGTAAGGCACACAAGCCTTCTAAGATCTACCTTTTACAAATAGTTCAATAATATGTTCATTGTATTACATAATTTGATACACTTCATTCATTTTGAAAAGAATATTTTCTAAGACTGTGGTTCATACATAGAACAAATAATTCTGTAGAATTTGGCAGTCAAAGTTAAACACTGAAAAAGCATGGGCGCGTATACTATAAAGTGCATGCACTTGATGCATGCCATCCGACAATTTCCTTTTTTTTGCGGATGACAATTTCCTTTTGCTAATGCGATATAAGATTGGAAAATAGATAAAATGAGAAAATGCAACTACAAAATGGAAACCGGGGTTAAAGCAAGTTGTTAAGCTAAAGAATAGCAGTACAACAAATATGGAACCAAAGAGTTCACTTGTATAAGGATGTTCTTCCTATCACAGAAGCCAAACGCTAGAACATATCCAATATTAACTAACTAGCTAGCATGCCAATCTGCCAGAGAGGCACAATGTCAACATCCGCAAGTTACAAATATCTTTGTGCTGGATCTGCATAACTTTTAATCCATCCAAACTAACTTAATGAATCAATTAGGAAATTCTCTTATTTTTTGCACGAGAGAATAGATATTTTCTTCCCATCCCCAGACGCACACTTCCTCCCCTTGCCTCTCCTCTCCACCATCAGGCCAAACTCAAAGACTAGCCTAATGGGTGAGGACGGCCCCACATTATATGTTCTTCTCCCCATCATCAGTTTTTGACGTGGGACTAGACCAAACTAAAACTTCATTGGTGCACTTGGTTGTTCGTAACAGAATTATAAATGCACATCCAAAAGCATGCACATATACCTAAAGCTGTAGACAATAATCTTGCAAGGGCATCCAGATACTTGTTCCCGTTGGCATCATAAATATAACAGCCCTGCATATATACGTAACTTAGTAAGAATGCTTGCTACCACCTCCGTTCAGAGCCAAAGGATATCCTAGTACATGTTATGTCAGCCTTCTTTCAGTTAAATGATTTATTAATAAGAAAAAAAATCGGTTACTCAAGTGAAAACAGTATAATTAGATTTGGGATGCAAAACAAGTTCAACATTATATTCTGTAAATTAATACTGACATATTCATACAATACTAGAAACCCTCCCTCACCATTACAATTTTATCCTAACAAAAAGAATCCCTTCAGGTTAGATAAAAAACAATGGGTAGTAAAATACCTCTGCCTTGCATTTATATAAACTTGCAAGGATTATGTGCCACACCCAGAGTCCAACTACTATCTACTAAAGGTAAACTGCACGCGGAATCCCCCCACCCCATCGGTTTCCTCCAATTGTTATATCGGCATACCACCTTTTCATTTTGAGCAATCCCGCCATTTATTTTTGTTGCCCGTGGATGATAATAATAGAATGTTGCTCTCTCTGGAGCTACATCGAGAAAAAAAATCTTAATGTACTTGTTGCACAACTAAAAGGCGCGAACTCTATTCCTACTGGCACATTTACTAAAAATATTATGTATAAAGGTATACTTCCATAATATTGTGTTATTCGGTGGAAAGGAGATATTAGTTGTCACTTATGCTTGTGCTGGAAGAGAATCAGTGTAGAAACATTTGTGTTTTTTGTTTCAATGCATGTGGAACATCTATGTATGAACAAAGTTTATATTATCACTCTTTTATTTCTTTGTCACCATTCATCAATAGTTAGTTATGCTCGATGTTCGTGTCCACTACCTTATTGAACATCAAAACATCTATTTGGTTGCAACACACAGGCACCTTACTAGTAATATTAATAGTATAACCAAGCTTATTTTATAGCTGCACCCAGACAAAACACCACTCTCTTCTCCATAAGCACAACAGTGCCATGCATAGTCCATCTATTTCCCCTGCCGACTTTTCCCTTGAAGGTTTGTCAGGAAACCATTTACCTATGATTATAAAGGTGTTCCTAGTAAAGTTTTACCATAGGATTTCTTTTTGAGGGTTTATGGTAGTCACACAAAAAGGAAATGTTAAAGTTGCAGGTTGAAAACAATGCCCATGCATATATCTAAAGCATCATCCGTTATCCTCCACTATCGGAACAGGGCCATACCTCGACGGCCAGAACAATCCCGACGGCCCCCGTCGGCTTCTTCGGAGATATGCCGACAGCCTGGTTCTGGCCGTCGGCGTACAAAGGCCGTCGGGTTACGCAGAGATAAGCCGACGGCACCCGTCGGCATAGAACGGCCGTCGGCCTAGCTACATATACGCCGACAGCTCCCGTCGGCTTACGAAGGCCGTCGGCATACACGTGGGGCCCGGCCACCCCCTGGCAAACGACGTCAGAGCTATGCCGACGGCCTAGACGGGGGGCCGTCGGCATAGGTCCGCAGGCCACGTCATTGATCCAGGCCGCACCATGCAGAGCCTATGCCGACGGCTGCCGTCGGCATATCTGCCACGTCAGTGATCCGCGACACGCTGGTCGGATCTATGCCGACGGCTGTCGGCATAGTTAGATTTTTTTCCATACATATTTTTTAATGCTTTTTTGTGTATTATTATATCAACTAACATGTAGCATGTTAAATATAAACATACATATGAATATATATGTAGTTTGTATTTTTTTCATATATTACGAATATATATATATATATATATATATATATATATATATATATATATATATATAGTTTGTATTTTTTCGAGCACGTTAATAATGTGCGGTCATGTTCTTTTAAATATAGATCCTTATATTTTATTAAAATCAAAAACATCTATGCCGACAGAAGTTTTGTGGCAGTTGCAAACGCCCGACACCCGTCTCCAGAGAGTGACCCCCCTCACATCCGCGGTGTGCCCCCCCTCATGGACAGCGCCGCCGCCGGCACCTGGAGGGGGGAAACGGACGCGTCGGGTCTACACGGAGTGGATGTAGCTGTGGTTTTGGCCCGGATGTTGCTCCCGGGTGTCCCTCTGGGCCGACCTAACACAACCGGGTGGAGAGGTCCACTGGTCAAAGCCCGTCTGTGGGAAGTCAAAAGGCTAGATCTCGTGGTCAACCGCTCCAGGGTTAGGCGGGACGGGGGCCCTGGGGGTAGCAATGCCACCGGAGCGTCGTAGCGGGCCCTCATACATGCGGGGTGGTGTTGTGGCATGTCCGAAGAGGCGGCACGCGTCTCCGGTGC